AACTTGATTTTGAAAACTGTGAATTTAATATATCACTAATCGAAATTCGAAAAGTCAAAATTATCTGAAATAAACTATAAATAATTTGAAAATTCGAAAACAAATCTCAAAAATCCTTTTACGAATTATTAAGACTATCCCCGAACCTCAAAGGTGAAAACAAATACTTTGAGATTTAAAAAAAGCCTGTCGTCGCTGGGATTCGAACCTAGACATCTTTGTTCTGTACATAAAGTCAGAATTATCTAAAATAAGTTGTAGACTGCAATTTTATGATGAATCCTGTAATACTAGTGAACGATCTCACTGATCATTATCCCATTCTGCCTAATATTAAAACTCAACAAAAAATATAGTAACTCAAAATAACTTCCCATATGAAACCATAGACAATAACAAGTTACTCAACATTTTCAAAGAAGCAGAATGGGATGATGTTCTTGCGCAAAATGACAGAAAATCAATATGGCTTTAGGGATGGTTCCTGTACTGAAGATGTATTGTGCAAGGTATCTAAGTGAAATTTTTCAAAGATTGGATCAGGTGATTGGTATATTTCTAGACTTGGCTAAAGCCTTTGACATTGTGGTACACCAAATGCTACTAGATGGGTTACATCACACTGGTATAAGGGGTATAGCTAACAATTTAATTAAATCATACTTAAGTGGTAGATCCACTGATCTGTATTATTTAACTGGATAGGATATAGGCCATATTTAACATACTAAAAAACCGTTCCACCAAGGAGACCGGAAGTGCAACAATGCTAGCCGATTTGGGCAAATTATGGTGGGTTCACAGAACTGAAATTTGGGATAATTTGACATACCTAACCTATAATTTAATTAGTTTTTCTTCTTATTCTTCTTCTATTTCTTTTGCGGGCGATGTCCTTCGGGAAAATTCACCCATGATTTGATTTTTTATGAAATAAAATATAAAAATGGAAACGTGAAGCATATTGTGTCTTCAGGAATGAATGTTTATTGTTTATTTCATACTCTTTTTACTTTGTTTTCCACAATAAAAACATCTTATCGTAGCTTGTTGACACAATTAAATGACAAATGTGATGACAAATGGAAATAGAGGTTACGTTAAATAACATCCGGTCCGCCATATTATTTGCCCAAATCGGCCAATTTTTCGGAACGTTTTTTAGGGGGCTATATCCTATCCAGTAAAATAATATAGATCAGTGGGTAGATCCCAACGTGTTAGATATTAAAAGGAGAAGCGAGGAACTTATAGTGGAGTTTGGTGTGCCACAGGGCACAGTGCTGGCACTACTGCTATTTAATATATATGTAGATGGTATCTTGTCCACTATCAATGAGGGGAATGTCTACTGCTTTGCCGATGATACGGCTGTTATAATGAGTGGGCAGGATTGGCCGATAACGTTAAAAAAGGCAGAGATGGCCATGTTTAAACTAAAAAAAATGGTTGGATAGTAATCTACTATCCCTAAATGTTGATAAAATAAAATTTTTGGCTTTCTCTCTTTCGGCATCTCCTAATTTTCACAAAATCATCCTTCATGACCAAACATGTCAATTAAATAATAATTGTCAGTGTAAAAATACTATAAAGAAGATCAAATAACATTAAATACTTGGGAGTACTCATTGACGAAAATCTCGCATGGAAAGATCATATACAATATGTCACCGGAAAGATTAGAAAATTAATTTTTAAATTCTATGAATTATGCAACATTCTTTCTCCAAAAATTTTAAAAGTTGTGTATCTCTGTCTTGTAGAATCAATCATAAACTACCCAGGCAGCACACTTTGGTATAAATTACGTATTTTTTTAAGTACTACCATACGTATGAATACGGTTGATGTACTACCAAATATATTCGTGAAAATGTCCGCCTTATAAACGTCGATTACTAAGAATTTGTCCAGCTATAATTAAACGTTTTTACTATACGTCTATATTAGATTTATAGTTGTAGTATATTTATACGAATTCACTTTGGTATAAAATACGTATTTTTATGTACTACAATATACGTATGGATACTGTTGATATGCTACCCAATATATACGTGAAAATGTCCGCCCTATAAACGTATATTTTTTTTATTTTCTATACGTCTAACATTACTACTTCATCTATCTTTAATTATCCTGTTTTACTATACGTCTATATTAGATATATTTGTATGATTTTTATTAATGTGTAAAATGCGTCTACCTGATATTGTTTTAAATGTATTTCAAACACAAATTAAATAAAGTGATCAAAACAAAATTTCTAAAAGAGGCCATGGAAAAATGTTAATATTTCTTAAATGATGGTGTGGATTTTATCCATAGCAGGTGTGTATTCACCAGAAATAGGCATTACTCGTGTTTCTATTTTGGTTGTAATTGGCCTAAATATTTAGAAAAATTTTTTGATCACTTGTTATATGTACAGAACAATATTTAATTTACAAAAAAATTAAGAATAAAATACTAAAAAATAAATAAATACAAAAAAATAAACACTAAAATACTGAATAACAAACCAAACGAAACTTTTCTTTAACTAACAAAAAATATATATGAAAATAAAAATCTTAGCTCAACACTTTGGATGTGTTGTGTCCTAGACGGGCCTTAGCTAACTTAAGCTAATCTTGCATGACACACCTAATCGTTCGGTCGGTTAAGTCGCTTGGTTCACCCCAATTCCTATAACCAAAATGTAACTCAATTTCAGGTGAAATATTTTCTAAAAGCTCCGAAGTTAAATTTGTATTATTTTCTTGGAAATTATTATAAATAATAGAATCAGATGATATATTAATGTCCGAAGCCTAATTATTGTTATCTTCATTGGAAATAAAAAAATTGATTTGACTTTAAAGCATCTTGAACATTTTGCGCTATTTTTCTACGTAGATGAAGCAGAGACAGGGTTATTTTAGACATTTTATTAAATAAAAAACAACTGACCAAAAAAAAAGGAAAATAAGTATGCTTGGAATAACTAGGTAACCTAAAAAATACGTATAAAAATAAAAGAAACAAAAGTAAGGTTATGTTTTAAAGTTTCTATAAGCATTAAACACACTGTACGTACCTATAAAACAGTAGTTGTTGTAAAATGCAACAATTATTAAAGGAGTAGCTAAATTAAAACATTAATAGAAACTTACCTATGCTTTTAATCAATATCGTAAAAGTCAGGACGCACGTGTACACAAATAAAAATGGACGAAATGATGAACCTGCTCCCACAAACTATTCCCTACACTGAACAATAATACTACACATACGCATGAGTAGAAATGAGAAAAGACCGTACCACTAGTACGTCATCCGCCATCTAAAAATAGTTCCATGTGTATGGGGAATTTGTTATAAATATTACAGGTAATATAATTAAAAAAATTGGATGTAATGTAAATAAATATATCTATAAGCTTTTAATTTAAATAAACCTAAATATATACATATTATTTACTTCTGTCTACTAGTTCATCGTAAACTGGTGTATTATGCGTTTAAGGTGACTTATATTTAAACGTAGAATAATATAGGTATATTAACTAGTATCGACAAACGCGTTTAATTTATCTGTTAAAAAACGTTAAGTATAAAAATGGTAGATGGTAAACGTTTAAAAAATCAACCAAGACGAAATTTAAACGGTAATTATAAACGAAGAAAACATATTGTAATATAAATGTATACGAAATTAATTTAAATAAACCTAAACGTATATTTAGGCTCACTGTATATAAATAGTTCATCGCAAACTAAAAATAGTCGTATATTGTTAACTATATTTAAACGTAGAAAAATTTACAATTATATACCATAGGATGTATATAAAAAACGTATAATATATCGTTTAAAACACGGTATGTATAATAATCGTAAACTGTAAACGTATACGGAATAAACCAATACCAAAATTAAACGAGTATTACGTATAAAATACGTTAGTTATACTATTGTGTGCTGCCTGGGTATAGGTTAGTTGTTTGGGGTAATGCTGGTAGTACACTTGTCTCCAAGTTACAAATTATGCTTTTTAAAAACCGAAGATATTCAACCGAACTGGTTTATAAAGATAGTAATTTACTAACTCCTTATCAACTTGATTTGAAATCGATAATCAGATTTATGTTAAAAACAAACCATTTTAAACAAGGATTGTCTTATAGCATTAATACTAGAGTGGCTGCTAAAAAAGATTTATGGCTTCAAAATCCTAAACATACTGCATGTCAGAACCATATCTATTGTGTAGGTCAGGTATATAATAATTGTTTACCACAGGAATTTAAAAATAAGTCATCATAAAATCAAAAATAGGATAAACCAATGAATAGTTGAAACAAATTTTTCGATTACTTATCTTTTATAAATATAACGCCCTCTAATTCTAAAATTTATTCATTTTCAGTATTTGCTTCTCTAACTAATAATATTAGATCATTTGCGGGTAATTTTAAGACACAGGATATTAACTTGCCATTGTGCGCTGAATTTTCCTCTCTTTTCAATAATGCAACCAGGAGACAAGGTTTAATTTTATTAATTCCTAGCAATGAGAAAAAATGAATATTCAAAATTAGACCATTAAAAGTTTTAAGTCGCACTATTAAGTAATTGGGATACGTTGTTTATATTTAAGTTATTGTATATATTTATGTAATAATTTACTGTAAACTAAATGGCTAATAAATAAATAAATAAATAAATATTTCGAGTCCGACAACTTATTTCAGATACATCTGACTTTTCGGATTTTGATTTGCGATCTACGATATAATAAATTCACAGTTTTCAAACTCAGGTTTACGTCGCTTTACGTACATTGAAAACTTAACTCATACAGACAAAGATATGGGCTTAGTATGCATCATTGCATTTCTCATATATACTGATTCTGCATAGAGGTATTTGAAGATTCGAGATTGAGCTTGAAACAGCGTCTAGCTCAACTTACCACATCAAATTGCCGTCTACAACTTATTATTTTTTTTTAGGAATTTGCACAAAATGCTATGAACGAGTTGCTCGGTTGGTACGGTTACGAGAATCCCAGGGAAGAGTTAAGGATCCCCACGACTTGCAGGTCACATTCTGATAGCAACAGTTCTGGATTATCACCAAAATCTTCAGGTAAGATCTTAAAAATTATATATACCTAATTTAATATTTTTTATTTGTAAGGTAAATTAAACATACATTCTAGTAATACATAAACGTAATTAAATTTGGCGATCGTTTTCGAAATTTGACAGCTTGATTGGAAATATCGAGATAAAATAATGTAGAGAGGGCATAAACACTATTTTACGATATGACACGTGAACGCACTTTGAGTCGTATTTTAATTAATTTGACGTTAATAATTTGAAGATTGACGAAATGAAAATGTTCTTATATTATTTAAATCATGCAATTTAAAAAAAATGGTAATTATTACTTATAAAAGTTAGGCTTTGTATTTTTAAAATAATTGAATTCCTAAAGAAAAAGTCGGTAATAATAAATGTAAAAAAGAAGTGATTTGTGCATTTGACAGAAAGATTTCCAATGTGATCACTCTGAGGGTAACTACATTGAAAAAGATTTCCGGAAATCTTCCATGTTGCCACAGTAACGATTAAAAATAACTTTACTTGATTGGTTTAAGAGCGATATCCATGCAACACCTAACAGCAAATTCAGATTTAGAACACACAGACAACTTTCAGTGCATCTGAACCCACTTTGGCAACGTTGCTCTATTCCCAGGCTTACGCTCCCTTCAATTTATTACTTATAAACTATAGATGATTTAAAATATTAAAAATGCCGATAAATCGCAGGTCCGGTCTAACAAAGAGTATTTCTGTTTTGTTTTCTCGTTTAAAATATCTTTTAAAGGTATAACCTGGTGTAACATTTTCGAAAAATTTTTTTTATAACTAATTTATTTATTTACGAAATATATTTTTAAATATACATATGTACCTATTTCTACATTTTCTGATATACAGGGTGTTTGTTGGTAAGTGTGAATGATTTTAGGGAATGTTTGCCGAAGTTATTTTATAAAAAAAACATAGATCGAAAAAGTCAGTGACGCAGTACTTTTTTATTAAAAAAGTGGCATTCTCGCACAAACGCCACTGGTACAAGTAGAAATATTTGGAACACCCCAAAAAATACACATTTGCCCCTTCAAAGTTTTTTTGCAAATTTAGAGTAAATATCTTTAAAACTATTAAAAATAATTAATAAAATTTAATAAATTAAAATTTAAACATTCTGTATCTCGGAAACGAAGCATATTTCGACCTACTTTTATAGGAACTTTTTTTAACAAAATAACTTTGATAACAATTTGCAAAAATCGTTCGTACTTATTTACAAATACCCTGTATAAAAATACTTTTTTTAAATAATAACCCATTTGATACTAGTTTGTGCAACAACAGTGGACAATCCACTGGAGTTGTACATTGCTTTTTTCGGAGTCAGTTTTGAAGCAGTGGCAGGATATTTAATTTCGATAATACTGTCTGTTCCTAATAAACCGTCGGAACCTAAAAACCATATTCAGAATCCACAAATAAACCACATTTATTGGATATCCGCTTTAAATTTGTAAATATTGCTTTAAAGCTAAAGGTTTTTTTTTTATTCAATACTTAGTATATTAATTTCCCATATATTTTAACTTTAATGCTTAGAAGGGGTGCTAATGTTTGTCTTTTTCTAAGTAATCTAGCACGATATTTTATAGATTTCCGTCGAAACGGAAATATAATTTTCGGCATTTCCGAAAGTTTTCCCATTTTGATCACAAATTATTATAACTCAGCTTACACATAAAAGTTCATATAAACACATTGACTAAATACGAAACAAAAACACCTACACTTGAACTAAAAAGAATAAAGTTTTTTTATTATTTTATTTTTATCCCAATTTTCCGGTACTGCATGCACGGCCAACGTCCGCCGCCTTGTTGCCAAATCAATTAATATGGATTGGAATCTTGACAGATTTTCTCAGATTTCCTAATTCAAGGTTTTCAAAAAATATACGCTTTGGACAAAAAAGTGTATTGGAAAGAATTAGCTGATTTTTATATAACAATTCCCGGTAAAGACTCCTTTTTGCAATAATTTTCATAATTTGTATAGAAATAATTAAAAAATTAGTTTTTCTGAATTCGGGCTCTATAGCGGAGTTCTCTATCATTTGCTTAGTAGGTATACCAAATTTTATAAAAAAATATTTAAAACTGAGAAAGAGAACCTTGAAGTCGTTTTAAGCCTGTTTCTAACCATGGATATCGCTCTTAAGAATATTGCTGTAATATTTTCAGTTACATTTTCTTAATATGTTACACTAATCTTAATTTAGTTATTAAGTTTTAAAACTGATTGTTTTTAAATAATTCGTAAGCATCTGTCAATTTGATTTTATTCTAGGCTTGATTAAATTTATGTGGTACTAGATTTTATATTTAAATTACCTCACTGAAGATGTCCACATTTTTGAGAAGTTGGACTCTCTTCTTCATTTTTTATTTATTGTTAAATTCAGAATGGTTGGTGTAATCTACACAGATTTTGACGACTTTCTAATTTGTGTTTTTTTAACGTCACTATTATAAATTAGATATCACCCCTAGAAGTATTGCTCGACCATTTTGATTCACCTTGTCACTGTCAATATTTTCATTGGCAAATTTACAAATTCACAGAACCCTCTGATACAATTTCACACTGAATTTAACAGAAATTCCTGGAAATATTCACCCCGATATGCTTATACGATGAGGGGTGTAGTGTTACCAAATATAACACATATCAATGAATGTTTGTAGTTATAATATTATTCCAAGAACTGCCTTTAATTTTATTAATCATTGAAGGGGCGCACAATAAAAATGACCGTTTAATCATGACTTGCGTAATTTCAAAATACACCTAGTAGAATTCCTGGAAAACTAATTATAATTGAAACAACTATACTTAGTATTTAGGTACGTTACTTCGGTGCAATGTATACAAGGGTTTGATAGTAGGTAGCCCATTTTTAAAGTTTATTTTTTATTCAGAAATTCAGAAATTGAGAATTTGTAATTTTTTTGAAAAAGTCGTTACAGAGAGACAGAGGATATAGAGTAGAATAATTACATGTTTTTTCTATTACTAAAAGTGAAAAATAAAATTTATAAGTGGGGCAGTGTGAAACACATTGCAAAATTTTTCGTCTGAAAAGTGGCGCATCTTTAAGTGTTTTTAAAAACGAGTATTTACAAAAGAAAACAATTTATATAATTAAAGGAAATAAATTCTAATTTTCAAATCTAATAAATTTAAAAATAAACTACAGACGAAAAAGAGAAATACTCAAAATCCATGTTACAAAAACAACTACTCCTTTGGCCAATACTTCAACAGGCATTGCATTATATCAAAAGGGAAATAACAGAGATAGAAAATAATTTTCAACACTCTTTGATTTTGCTTCTTAAGAAGAAATTCATTCTTGGAGTTGGACCGGTTTCATCAGCAAGAAATAGATAATCTCGACTGCAGTTTCTAAGGGAGTCTACCGACAATACAAAATTTGCTCATACACATTAACAGAGGTTGAGTATGTAGATATTAAACGAGAAAAAAATGGTAACGCCATCTGCATTTAGGAAGCAAAATTAAAGATAGCTGAGGTACCTATTTTATTTAATATAACTTGCTCCAGTTCTAAACATTCTGTAAATGATTTTGAATAGAATATTCCATACTATTAACAAAATTTAGAAGAAACAATTGTAGTACCTTATAGGAAAACATTGACAGATATTTTTTTAATACTTTATGGCTAGTTTCTAGCGACAAACTTAAAACAATGATTTTTAGAATCATAGGACCCAATGCTGATATTCGTTTCCTGCTCGCCCTAATGCTAATTCTCTGTAGTTTTCATATGTACTTACATTTTTCTTTCACCGTTTTCAAGAAAAAAAAAAACTATTTTTTTTTGTTATTTTGATACTTAAATATCTCAGCCTAGTGGACTCAAATTGCAAAATTTTATAAGAAAATTAAATGCTTGAAAATTAAATGCTTGAAATATAGGAACATCATTACGGAATACCCTGTATAGTCTGCAATAAGTAACAACCTGGTTACAGGAGAGAAAAACCCGGAACATTTCATCAACCATCATAAACCCTATATACATTAAATTTAAGAGTTGAACAAATACAAATTTAATTACGGATCATGGAAACGTAATCAGCCAAATATTCGGCTCGTGTGTTACTTAGACAAAAGTGTAAGATAATCCAAGTTATTTTCAGCGGTTGGTGTAAATCGGTCAGCGCGTGCTAGATAGATATTATAAACCAACATTCGCTTATTTTGATCGCACAAAGGGTAGAATGTACTGTTTCGACTGTTTCAAAATATAAAAATACCTATATAAACAAAAAAATTAATTTTGTTTATTTAACCAGTTGCGAGAAGATGTCACTTTATACGTCAAAATTAGAAAATAGCTCTGATAAACAAAATAAATACATAACATAATAAGCTTTGTTTGAAGTCTAATCTACAAAAGTTTAACAGTTTGGCGCTCCAATGGCGTATCAAGTAGTTTTTTTTTGCATCAGAATTGTTTTTAAATTTTTGTAAAGGACGGATATAAAGAAAAATGCAATTATTCGAACATTTTATTTTACAAAAAATCAAAATAGGATGATTTGATGACTATCTTCTGAGTATACATCACACTCGAACTCCTGGTACGAATTGCGCTGTAGCAGTGGTTTCTTAAGAAGAAAAAGAAAAAGAAAAAGAAAAAGAAAAAGAAAAAGAAAAAGAAAAAGAAAAAGAAAAAGAAAAAGAAAAAGAAAAAGAAAAAGAAAAAGAAAAAGAAAAAGAAAAAGAAAAAGAAAAAGAAAAAGAAAAAGAAAAAGAAAAAGAAAAAGAAAAAGAAAAAGAAAAAGAAAAAGAAAAAGAAAAAGAAAAAGAAAAAAGAAAAAGAAAAAGAAAAAGAAAAAGAAAAAGAAAAAGAAAAAGAAAAAGAAAAAGAAAAAGAAAAAGAAAAAGAAAAAGAAAAAGAAAAAGAAAAAGAAAAAGAAAAAGAAAAAGAAAAAGAAAAAGAAAAAGAAA